CTACCTGTTAATTTTGTTGCTCTTTCTCTTTTGTTAGAGTCACTTAAAATGTTTTCTATAGCTTTTGTTGAGTTTTTTGTCACTTTTGCTTCTGCTTGTTTTTGTATCCAAGTGATCGTTAGGAAGAGTTAGCTTTTCTTGATTTTGTACTCGTATAGATTTTGATAACAAAATTTTGTGAAAAAAAGTAGCATTAGACTTTGGTCGTAAATAGTACTTAGTATTAGAAATATTGGTTGAAGCAATAACAACAATTTACTTATTATTTTTATTTTTTATTAGTTAACAACCAAACAAAAAGGAGATGAACTTGAATTTTTTCTTTTAAAAATTTTACGTGAAAATTCAATTGAATATAATGCAACAAGAACAAGTTACACTGTTGATTCAACATTTATTCTTATTGGTGATGGCAGAATCGATTTATTTGGAAATTATAGATCAATGAATTATATTATTCAAGTTAAAAATAAAGCGGAAAAATATAAGGTTGGATCAAGTGATATTTGAGAATTTTCTGTAGTTTTAGCAAAACAGCTAGAAGGTACTATAGGATTTTTCATTACAAATACTACATATTCTTCAAATGCTATTAATGAAGCGAGTAATTCAAAACAACAGATTATTCTTTATTCTAAAGAAATATAGTTGAAAAAATCAAATCTACAAAATTACAATTAGAAAACAAAGAGTTAAAAAAAATTTATTTGAATTAAATGATGTTGTAATAAAAAATCTTAAAATTGATTCAAAGAATACTAATGTTTATTTGTTTGATATAAAAATTGAAGGAAACTGTAAAATTGGAGCCTTAAGAATTAAACATAGTAATCATAAATATAGGCTATATTAATTTATTCTATTCAGTATAATTATCAAATAGAAAATTAATTTTGTAAAATGGATCGTAAAATTAAAATATATATCAATTAAATTGAAATTTCATTAAAAAAGTTAATTAGAAGACTTGAAAATGTGAAAGAATATAATTTGAAATGAGAATTTTCTTCAGAAACAGAGCAAATTAAAATTGAAAATGAATATGAAAATATTTATAAAGATGTTCAAAATGAATATGCTTATAAAATACGACAAGAAGCACTAAATCGATTAAAAAGGAGCCATCCTGAACAAGTAATAATTACTAAAAGAAAGAAACAACAACCAAAAATTATTATTTTAACAGGTAATTAGACATTTTCAAAATTGTAAAGATAATTCTTAACAGATGATTTTAATTTAATAATTAACAAAACAGATAAATTTAAGAGTTATTTAGAAGAAAAGAGATATAGAGTTTATCGACTACTTGAAGCATCTCTTTTTCTTGAAGATGAATTAAAACTTTTTTGCAAAGATCCAAAAAATAATGCTTTGTTTTTTCAATATGCAATTCTTAATTTTTACAAGAAGCAAACTGCAGAACTTAATGTGATTGGTTTATATAATTTTATAATACTAGATTGAACACATATTAATACTGAAGTTTTCACATTCATCAGAAAATTTTAAATAAGGTATATATCGATAACCTTCAGTAGGGGTGATTGGCATCGATTTATATCAATTATAATCGATTGTAATCATTCAAATCTAAATGATTATAATCGATTAGCATCAATTATAATCGATTGCAATCATTTAGATTTAAATGATTACAATCGATTATAATCGATATAAATCGATGCCAATCACTCCTGCCGATGATAATCAATATATACCTTATTTAAAAATTTTCCTGATGTTAATGAATACTCAAGATGAAGAAATTATCGAATTTTTAAAGAAGAAAAGACAAGAAATTAAAATAAAAAATATCAACAAGATGATTTATTTAAAGCCTTTAGATGAAAATATGATTCAGAACAAAGAAAAAAAGATCAAGAAGCAGAGACTTACAGTGACGAATATTTAATTGAGTTATCTAATTTTTATAAGAAACTAATCGATAAAATTTATCCATCTCATATTAAATTTGAAAATAATTATTTAGTTGAAGAGTATGAGAAAAATTATTTTGAAAATTTATTAACTGATATTACTAATAATATTTAATTTTTATATATATTATTTTTCTATCTAGTCTTATTTTAACCAAATAGATTTTTTATATATAAATTAAGATATCTTCTAAATTAGTAAAAATAATTAAAAAAGAAGAAGAAAATCAAACAAAAAAATGAAGCTTATATGATCATCTTGATAGTTTATTTTATGATAGAGTATCAGAGGGAATAGAAGGAGATAATGAAATTCTTGAAGTTGTTAATGAGTATTTAAAGTCTAAAAACCAAAAAAAAAAATTAACAAACTTAGTGAAACTCAAAAAGAAGCAATAGTTTCTTTATTAATAGAAATCCTTTCAAAAAAATTTGATAGGATTGAGAAATATAAATCAGATGATCACAAAAATATCTTATAGACAAACATAAACTTTATAGAGATATTATTTTGCCCAAATTAAATGAATTAAAAGAATTATCAATTAATATTAAATTTGACAAAATATTTGTAGTTGAATAATTTCTATTTAGTCAAAAGACCAAATAGAAATTTATTTATGTAATTTATTAATGTTAAATATTTTTTATATATATGATGCTGCTAATTCATCAGCTTTATACAACAAATACTATTTACTTCGATTATACACAATCAATCCTGAAGAAGAAAGATTTATATTTAATATAAAGATTAAAGAAGTATTTTTTGATATTAAATTAACACAACAGAGTAAAAATGAATTAGATTATATCAATAAATTTGATCCTTCAAGCTATGAAATTATTGAAAAATAACTGTTTGATTCAATAGCAAAACATAAATTTATTCATCTTTATTTCAAAAATCTAACCAAAAGAAAAGAAGTATTAAAGTCAATTGAAGAAAAAAAAGAAAAAATAGATAAAAATGTGAATCGAAAAGAATTCGATGAGTATTGGCTTCAATATAATACTTACTTAGACAATAATACTTGTCATTATCGAAAATTAGCATGTGAAAATAATTTTGAGTTGGTTGGATAGTATCGAATCAACAAACAAACAATATTTAACAACATGGAAATATCATTTGATGATCTAAAAAAATAGAATATACAACACAAATTCCATTGATATTACTTTATTGGGATATAGAATGTAGTAGTACAAGAGGACCTGGATATTTTCTTGTTGGAGAATAACAGCAAGATTATATCTATATGATTCAAATAGATTTTTGCTTTCTTTCTGAATCAACACTATTTAAATGTTTTTGTTTAACAAAAATTCCAATTAATCAAAATTTATTTAATAAAAAATATAGCAACAATCAAATTATCAATGTTCAGTCTTAAGAAGAATTAATTCATTTATCAAAATTTCTTATTTCTCAAAATTTCGCATAATAAACTACCTTTTGTGATCTAACAAAAAAGATTCCTTGGCCAATTTTACTATATTTTTTGTTAATATTTAACTTCATCATAATTACAAACTCTAATGTAAACAAACTTAAAAAGATTTTTTTGTGCAATTTTCACTATTATGTAATGACTCTAGAGTTGGCCGCAAAAAATAATAGCTGAACAGATTTGCTAATTATGTGTGATTTAAAATCTGATTATTATCGCAATATCATCTATCGCAATTGTCTTAACAATAGCAGTTTTTTTTAATTTAACTTACTATGTTGAAGCAACTAACCAAAGTCTACATTCCTATAAAAAAAATTCTTTTGAAATTGTTTATAAAATTCTGAAATTATCTAATTTTTTGTTCAGAAAATCAACTCTGTTCTGAACATTTTAAAGGATATTTATTGGATGTTTATGTTTTTATACATTTATTATAAATTTTTTATGCATTTTTTATACAATAAATTTTAATCAAAAAATTTCTATTTTTACATCTCGTACAAACATCAATATAAAAACAGTACAAAAATAAACCCTGTTCGAAAAATTGACTCCGTTCTGAACAATTTTTTGAACAATGCCTACAATAATTGAACAAACTTTTTATAGGGCATAGGGTATCATTATATTCAAAACTATGAAGACTTTGATTAAAAAAATTTATTATCAAAAAAAATTTTCATGATATTTTAAAATTAGAAACTTCTAGAAACCAAAAAGGCGCTTACAATTGAAAACGTATGTTCAAATATCAAGTGACAATTTTAGTATTGTGAACACTTAAATAGATTATTGTCTGGTATAATTTTTGGTTTACAAGTTCAATATTGTAAATGTTTTTCATAGTTATTAAGTAAATAAATCTTAGTCAATTTGTTGTCTATTGGTTCAATATTAAAAAAAATGCTCACTATACAAAATACTATGTTCTTAAGAAACCATAACTTTTTCTATATAGAATTAATGCAAAATTTAAGAATTTTTGTTCGTTATATCCAGAGTTCATTATAGATAAGTTTGTTATAGAGTTGATCGTAAAAACATTTTGAAATCTACCTTATCATAATGCTAACAATAATTAAACTCCAATGCTTATCCAAAATCACATGTAACCGGCAGATCTATCCGGCCACCATTTTTTACAGGCGACAATAGGGTCGTGGTGATGCAGGAGGGCACCAACAGATAACAGATTTTCACTGATTGACTTCGAATTGACCAATTAGATTACATGATCAGGTGTTATGTGAAAATAATGCATTTTTATAAAAAACAGTCTGTAACTCAAAAATTTCATCTATGTAACCTTCTTCTGCGCACTAGTAAAAAAAATTCCTTGCAAAATTTTAGTATCGGACAAGCCTCGCAATAATTATAAACTTGTCCCTAATGTAGTGTTTTATTGCGCATATTCGTTGTTTTGATTATTGATCAGTGAAAATTGGATAACTCGTAATAAATTTTGATTGGCTGAGTATGTGATACAGATATAGGTTTTAAGGAGTTAATTTGCGAAAAAAATATTTGTATCCTAGTATTGACTAACTGGTTAATGCGCTATGGCGCTACTCAGTGAGTTTAGGTTCGTGACTCTGGAGGAGTCTTCTTCTTAATTATTTAAGATTAAGAAGACCACTGGGGGGAGTTCTTAACCCCTGAGAAAGGCTGGGTGAAGCTACCTTCCTGAGGTTTCACCTTAGGATATGTGATGCTCCGGTTGATACACTAGGATATTTGTTATGCTCTTTATGTGTAACTTTCTTTATGCACTTTTGTATTTTCTCTTTTTTTATTAGTTTTTCTCGTCTTTTTACCTTTTTTATTTTTTTCTTTAATTTTTTTTTTTTTATTTGCCTCTTTACTTTTCTCATTTCCCACCTTTCTACCTTTTTTTTGCTCTTTTACTTTACTTTTATTTTCATATTTTTTTGCTTGTTTTTTTTCCCTTCTTTCGTTCTTTCACTTTTTCTTATTTTTCTCTATCCCCTTTCTTTCTGCTTTTTTTAATTTTTTTCACATTTCGAACCTAATATTTCTTTCTATTCCCAGGTATAGTTTGTCACCATTTTGTGTAGAGTTGTGTAGAGTTCTTTCGACGTTTGTGTGGATTCTTAAAGACGTTTGTGTGGAGTTCTTGACGACGAGTATACAGAGTTCCTTGACGACATTCTGTGGAGTTCTTGCCGACGAGTGTGTAAAATTCTTGACGACGTAGAGTATAAAAAAAATTTTTTTTATATAATTATAATCTGTAGTCTTTGCTAACAAAAGTTTTTTTTTCTTAGTACTCATCGCTACTAAGGCTGTCATTTCCAGGGCTTTCTCCTTGAGTCATCAGTATGTAGAAATTCATTTTGTGTCGCGTAAATTTATTGATTGTTGTAACATGTAATTCTTGAGTTATTGCTAGATATGTTTATGTTAGTTAAATCAGGAATAACATTGATCTTTGCACTTTTCAAGAACAGCGCATTAACTTCTTTGAATTTTGTTATAATTAACTGTACCAGAAGCGAAATTAGGAGGAAGAAAAACAATAACAGGAAGATGACTTTGATCAGAAGAAGAAAAGGCATGAGCTGATGAGCTTTACAACAACACTATGCTGATTTTTTGATTCTTATCACGGATTAGAAGAGAAAACGAAAGAGTCTTGTATCGAAATGAAGAAAAGCAATAGCTATACACTTTGCAACAACGCCACGCTAATTTTTTGGATTTTATCTCTAATTAGAAGGAAAACAAGATATTGGCCAATGCAATTTGTGATAGCACCACACGATGGAGAAAGAAGCACTTTTTGATGACATCACGCTAATTTTTGTGAATCTTATTCTAGATTAGAAGAAAATAATTAACTGATACACTATTTAAAAACACCAAAGGGACTTATTTGATTTTTACCTTGGATTAGAATGAGGAAAGCATTAGCTAATGAACTTTTCAATAACACCACGCCGACTTATTGGAACCTATCCCGAATCAGAAATAGAAAAACATTAGCTAACGCACTTTTGACAATACAATGCTAACTTATTGAAATTTATCCTGGATCAGAAGGAGTAAAAGCATTAAGTGATCCATTTTTTATCAATTCCACGCTGGCTAATCAAATCTTATTATGAATCAGGAAGAAAGCATTGGCTAATACTTTTTTGACATTATGCTGACTTATTGGAACTTAACGCTGATATAAGAAGAAAAGCATTGACTAAAGCATTTTGCGACAACATCATGCGGATTTTTTTGATATTATCTTAGATGAGAAGGCTTTAGCACATATATATATGTATACATAGGTAATTGAATGGATCAATTTGACAGAGTAAATTATATTTGAAAAGGAAGATTTAGTTTCTATATTTTGCAACCTGATGAATAGCATATGAAAAATTGATTATATTAATGGGTTATATGTGAGGACACGTAAATCATCAAGTAAAGTATAAGTGAATTTTAATTGCATTATGTGTTCAAATAAAGATCCAAATTTTAGCATTAACTAATTCATTGACAATTATAAATTTCACTTCAAGCTAAAAAGGATTTCCGCAAAACAAGGCGATATTTTAAGTGCAACTAGTGAAAAGCATTAACTGGACACTTTACAACAGCACAAAAGCTGACATCTTGAAACATATTCCAGATCAGAGCATTA